GGCGGACATTATAGTTACAATACAATTTGGTACAAGAGGAAACAGAGGGCCCGGCTCGTCAGAGCTTACAATCTAGGAGGAAGGGTTGAGTGATACAAAAGGTAATAGCTGTGGGGGGGGGGGGTGAGCTGAATAGTAGTAGTATTATATTATTTAGCATTAGTATTATTTTTACTATTATAATTAATATTCCTCTTCTTCCAATATATTATTATTATTATTTATTAATAATAATAATAATAATAATAATATAAAACAGCAATAATGATAACTTTTAAATTATATTGTCTATATTATTATTATTATTATACAGGATTTATATAGTGCCACCAGTGTGCGCGGCGCTTTACAAAATGAAGGCGGACATTATAGTTACAATACAATTTGGTACAAGAAGAAACAGAGGGCCTGGCTCGTCAGAGCTTACAATCTAGGAGGAAGGGTTGAGTGATACAAAAGGTAATAGCTGTGTGGGGGGGATGAGCTGAATAGTAGTAGTATTATTATTAGCATTAGTATTATTTTTACTATAATTAATATTCCTATTCTTATTATATTATTATTATTAATAATAATATAAAACAACAATAATGATAACTTTTACATTATATTGTCTCTATTATTATTATTATACAGGATTTATATAGCGCCAACAGTTTGCGCAGCGCTTTACAAAATGAAGGCAGACATTACAGTTACAATACAATTTGGTACAAGAGGAAACAGAGGGCCCGGATCGTCAGAGCTTACAATCTAGGAGGAAGGGTTGAGTGATACAAAAGGTAATAGCTGGGGGGGATGAGCTGAATAGTAGCATTATTATTAGCATTAGTATTATTTTTCTATTATAATTAATAAATCCTTTTCTTATATTATTATTAATATTAATAATAATAAAAAGAAGAAGAAGAAGAAGAAGAATTGTAGTAATAATAATAGCAATAACAAAAATTATATTGTTGCATACTATAGTAATGACACATTAATTTTTAAGTTTCATATAGGTTTTGTAACATTATAGAAAAGGAAAGCAGGACGTACATTAAAGTAGATCTAAGCTGTAACTACACGACATTTAGTTTGCTAAAGCACTGTGTATCATAAAGTTTTTTTCCCTATAAAATACAATTCTCACCTTCCTTCATCCTTTTTTTTTTCCATCTCATCGCTTCTGATTTCCTACATGCATTTCCTTCAGCATACGCTGCACATCATTGCATTGATCCTCTCGATGGTGAGAATGGCAGACCATGCGCAATGCGTGTCGGAAGGATCAGTGGTGCATGTAGCAGGGTGATGACTATCTGCATTTTATATTTATTTACTGTTTTTTTTTTTTGCTTATCTCTTGGGGGGTGTATTTTGAGTAGCTTAGTTTATTTTTTTTATTTAATTTAGTGTTCTTTTAATTTTTTTTTAACCTTTTTCCTTTTTAATCATTATGTTGGTACTGTATCTTTGTATTTTTTTTATTTTACTTCTTTTTTACTGTCTGTTTTGTTTTCCTTGCAAGAAAGAAATAAAATAAAATAATGAGGTTATATAGAATAGACATTTTTTGACATAAGAACAGGGCCAAGTAAAAGGAACTTTTGTAACCCTCAGGAGACATTTAAGGCTTATTGTACCCTTGGCACCCACTAAAATTACAAATAAATGCAAGCCTTTTTTTTTCTCATCTTGGATAGAGTAACAAAGGCTTATTTTTATGTCATCAATGTAGCATTGTGGAGATTTCCCTTTATTTCCTTTCCCAAAGCCAAAAGTAGAAATGAGAAATAATCCCTCCAAAGAGAGGGAATCTCTGGTTGTTCTCATTGGAAGATTTCTTCCCTTTTTTCCATCTGGGTGAAACCCCAAAATTTGAGATTTTCTTTCACAGTAATAAAACGGCAAATAGAATGCATCTGCAATAAAAATATGATTGGCGTTCTAATTGCTCTCCACTATATCCAAAGCTAAAAAAGAAAAAAAGTTTTGCCTTTAGCTATCTATTAATTTCACTAAAATGGCAACATTTTTACTAAAAAATCTCCAGATTCTGTCTGAAATTGTACCCTTAGAAACCACCTAAAATTAAAAATAAATGCAAGCCTTTTTTTTCCCACCTTGGATAGAGTAACAAAGGTTTATTTTTATGTCTTCAATGTCGCATTGTGGAGATTTCCCTTTATTTCCTTTCTCAAAGCCAAAAGTAGAAATGAGAGCTAATCCTTCACTAAAACAGCAAAATTTTAGTAAAAATCTCCAGATTCTGTCTGAAATTACTGAAAATAAAAACTTAAAATTGTGCTCATCGGTATGTTTAGCACTTTTATATAAAATAAATAAAGCCAACATAATATTAAACAAATGAGGAGCAAAAAAGAGTATAAACGAGTAAGACTAAAATAAACAGAAGAGCTGATATTGTTATTTGATTTGTCCAAATCTACGTAGTAAAACATTTTACCATAACTGGGCCCTAAAAAAAACCCTAGGACCCCAGAGTCCTTCAAGGAGCCTGAATGTTTGAAATCCTCCCCCCCCCCCCCCAAGAATTGAGATCCAAATCACGACTTGCAGGCCGCCAGCTTTGGTAATGACAAAATAAATGATGCAAAAATGACAGTCGATAAAGTTGATCAGTTTATTGAACGGATGAAGACGATTCATTAAGCCTAACTGGCGTGGCAGACGCACGTCTTGTGAAATGTCCAATAGTTGATGGCAGCTTGCAAGGTCAGTACTCTAAGCAGCCGCTACCTGATCACTGCATCTTGTGCTGCTCGTTCACCACCCAACCCTTTCTATGTATACCATATAGCCATCAAGGGAAATATTTGAGAAGCCAGTGCAAAAAGAAAAGGACATTGCTTACAAAATTAAAATGATTGTTGTCCTGTTTTTTTTTATTATATATATATATATATATATTATATTTTTTTTTTTTTTTTTTAAATTTTATTATTTTTCTATTAATATTATTATTAATAATAATATATATATATATATATATATATATATATATATATATATATATATATATGAGGCCTTAGGAGTGTGGACCAATGCAACTAGTTTTATGTATTCGGAAAGCCAATAAGCATAGGTGCATAGTTAGGTTGAAAATAGACACAAACCCATCTAGTTCAAACAATTAAAATAATAAATAAATAATACATTAAAAGAAAAAACCCTCCAAACAAACAAATTGAAAACATCCAAATACACAGTCCCATACCTACAGTTGAACCAGAAGAAGGCAAAAAAATGAAATAAAATAATAAAATACAATAAATTATATAAAATGAAAATGATTGTTGCCCTGTTTTATATATATATATACAGTATATATATATATGAAAATATAATACAATATAATATAAATAATACTATAGTATATTACAACATAAAAATAATAATAACAACAGCAATAATAATAATTATTATACTAATAAAAATATAATAATATATAAATAATAATTAAAAAAAACAAACCTGTCCTCTGAAATCTAACAAGACAGGACACCACGGAATAACGTAATGGATTATTTTATCCATTTATCTTTTTATTTATAAAACAAACAGTTTTGGGAATGAATAAGGAAACTACTGGTGCCCATTAGTAACCTTTTTGGGCTCTTTCACATGGACTTTCCGATCGGGTCCTCCCAGGGGTGCACTGACCATTTGGAAACTCGGGCACTGCCCGAGGGCCCAGGGTCAGTAGGGGGCCCCATGAGATGCCCCTGGTACCTTTTTGATAGGCTTTTTTGAGTTTGGGCAAGGACACAGGGGCCCCACGATCCCCTATTGCCCGTGGGCCCCATGAGTTGTCAGTCCGCCCCTGGGTCCTCCTGCCCGTTTTTCAGGTGGGCCCGGTCAGAACCTCAATACTCCTCTATGGAGCGGCGGTTGTAAACAGACACGCGCCCGTTTACATCCGCCGACATCCGATTCGCCAAAAATGGGACGGATGGGGATCCAATTCCCCTTCCGTCCGTCAGATCGGATCAGATGAACAGGGACAGGCGGTCCATTTTCATCCGGCTGCCTATTGAGGAGATCGATCCATTCTGAGTCTGCAGCAGCGGAGCGGACACAGAGCTGTCATCCAGTTGCTTAGCGTGGATCAGCAGAGAGATCCCCCCACTGACCAAGCGGATCCGCTGAAAGGGTCCGTCCGTGTGAAAGAGCCCTTCAAGAAATTATTGATCAGTACTTTGCATCTGTTAACAGCAAAATTTAATTCACTACAATAAAATGCATGAAAATGATACATTGCAGAACCCAAGCAGAAAAAAAAAGATTTTTTTTTAATCCATGTACAGCAAACTTTTTATTTTTGAATTAAACTTTTTTATTTTTTACGTCCCGATTCCTGGTTTGCTATTTAAAGTAGATCGATCAGCAACAGATATGTTTTCCATGTTAATCGCAGCATGATAATGATTGTGTTGGGTATTTATTGTTTCTCATGTAGTACTCCCCCTTGTCTCTGTTCGCAAACAAATGACACCAATCAGCCCCACATACAAAAGTACAATGTTACAGTCTGATCACTGGGGGGGGGGGGGGAGACAATACAGCAACAATACAGTTCAATACAAGAGGGTTAGGAGGGCCCTGATCCTGGGAGCTTACAATCTAAGAGGGAGGGGCTAGTGGTACAAAAGGCAATTACTGTGGGGGATGGACTGGTTGGAAGAGTAGAAGATTCCATTATTAGCTGAGGGCAGGATAGGCTTCCCTGAAGAGAGAGGTTTTCAGAGATTGCCTAAAAGTGAGCAGAGTAGGCGATAGTCTGATAAATTGGGGTAGAGCGTTCCAGAGGATGGGGGAAGCTCTGGAGAAGTCCTGGAGATGAGTATGGGAGGAGAAGACAAAGGACGGTTTGGGTGATATGTGGAGACAAGATCGGTGATGTAATTTGGGGCAGAGTTATAAATGGCTTTATATGTTATTGTTAATATTTTGAATTTTATCCTTTGGGTAATGGGAAGTCAGTGGAGGGATTGGCAGAGAGGAGTGGAGGACACTGAGGGGAGGCCAGTGGAGGGATTGGCAGATAAGGGTGGAGCACACTGAGTGGAGGCCAGTGGAGGAATTGGCAGAGAGGGGTGGAGGACACTGAATGGAGACCAGTGGAGGGATTGGCAGAGAGGGGTGGAGGACACTGAGTTGAGGCCAGTTGATGGATTGGCAGAGAGGGATGGCAGATAAGGGTGGAGGACACTTAGTAGAGGTCAGTGGAGGGATTGGCAGAGAGGGGTGGAGGACACTGAGTGGAGGTCAGTGGAGGGATTGGCAGAGAGGGTGGAGGACACTGAGTGGAGGCCAGTGGAGGGATTGGCAGAGAGAGGTGGAGGACACTGATGGAGGCCAGTGGAGGGATTGGCAGAGAGGAGGGGTGGCAGCAGATACAGAACGGTTAGTAAGGTGGAGAACAGCATTCATGAGACTGGAGATAGCCTGCAGTGGAGGGAGTCAAGGTGGCAGGGAGGGATTGCTTAGTGGGGGTAGGGAGAGATGTTGCGTACTTGAATGTTGCGGAGGTTAGATGTTGAAGGTTGGAGATGTTGCGGAAGTTGCTGAGGTGAAGTCTACAGATTTGGACATGATTGGATTTGGGGCTGAAAGGACAGATGATACAGACCCTGGCAAGGGGAGACTGATGATTTGTGATTAGCCTGATGGAGAGGGGGAGGGGGCAAGCCAATGAGGGAATACTAAGAGTTTTAAAATGAGTTTGAGTCAAGGTGAGTTACATCCATGCCGAGTCGTTTTGTAAAAAGATCGATGTTTTGCTAAAAATGAAAAAAAAAAAAAAAAAAAAAAATGTAAAGAAATAAAATAAACCTGAATGATGGGAGTGTAATACAACCGCACTGCGATACACTGAACTGTCATTGGCTGAACGCAGATTATTAATGATTCAATTCATGTGAGACTTCCTACAGGAATAGCATAATTCATGCAGAAGTAATTAATAATAGCACAGAAACCCTCGGTGATTACGCCGTACTTTTTTTTTTGTGTATAATTAAGAAATGCATACATTTCCCTAATGCAAATAATTACCAAAAATGACTGCATTTACTGCCAATAATATTCTTCATACAGAACGGATTTTTCAGAAACACAGATGTTAATAATTGTATGCAAGGATGGTACAAAACGAGTCTATCTGTCTGAAATGACAGACGTATCTGAACAAGGACGAGCAGAATTGAGAGTTTTCGTTTTCCCGAAATTTCTGTGAAAATCGAAAGAATGTCAAAATGTAGCTATTTTGACGAAATGCGTTGGAGTCAATGGGGAGTGTGAAAAAAAATTCTATCTATCTATCTATCTATCTATCTATCTATCTATCTATCTATCTATCTATCTATCTATCTATCTATCTATTATCTATCTATCTATCTATCTATCTATCTATCTATCTATCTATCTATCTATCTATCTATCTATCTATCTATCTATCTATCTATCTATCTATCTATCTATCTATTATCTATTATCTATCTATCTATCTATCTATCTATCTATCTATCTATCTCTATCTATCTATCTATCTATCTATCTATTATCTATCTATCTATCTATCTATCTATCTATCTATCTATCTATCTATCTATCTATCTATCTATCTATCTATCTATCTATCTATCTATCTATCTATCTATCTACATCTATATAATATATATTATATATAGGCAGCACAGTGGCTAAATGGTTAGCACTCTCACCTGGCAGTACTAGGGTTGTTGGTTCAAATCCCAACCATGGCACCACCTGCCTTGAGTTTGAATGTTCTTCCTGTGCCTGTGTGGGTTTACGCCGGGTACTCCGGTTTCCTCCTACACTCCAAAGACATGCTGGTAGGGTAATTGGCTCCTGTCTAAATTGTCCCTAATATGTGTATGTATGAATGTAAGTTAGGGACCTTAGATTGTACACCCCTTGAGGGTTAGGGACTGATGTGATTGTACAATATATATGTAAAGCGCTGTGTAAATTGACGGTGATGTATAAGTACCTGAAATAAATAGCGCCATCAATTTACACAGCACTTTACATATATATTGTACATTCACATCAGTCCCTAACCCTCAAGGGGCGTACAATCTAAGGTCCGTAACTTACATTCATACATGGGCCAATTTAGACAGGATCCAATTGACCTACCAGCATGTCTTTGGAGTGTGGGAGGAAACCGGAGTACCCAGAGGAAACCCACGCAGGCACAGGGAGAACATGCAAACTCCAGGCAGGTAGTGCTGTGGTTGGGATTCGAACCAACGACCCCAGTACTGCCAGGCAGAAGTGCTAATCATTTTGCCCGTTTTAGGTTCGCTCTTAACCACGTAAGATCCCTTATCTGTTTGTCCTCTATGGACCTGACACCAGGGGCGGACTGACAACTCATGGGGCCCCTGGGCAATAGGGGATCATGGGGCCCCTGTGTCCTTGCCCAAACTCAAAAAAGCCTATGAAAAAGGTACCAGGGGCATCTCATGGGGCCCTCTACTGACCCTGGGCCCTCGGGCAGTGCCCAAGTTTCCAAATGGTCAGTTCGCCCCTGCCTGACACCAAGTTTTACATTTTTGGTAGGGGCCAGTTTATTTAGTAAGCAAGTGTACAATCCAAACGCACATGTTCCTGCGTTAAAAATGGCGGTGTGTATAAGTGGATGCTGCAGTGACCGTCGGCTGGAACCAAACAGAATCAGCAAGGGAGAATGTCACCAGCACACCGAGGATCACCAATACGGGTCCAAAAGGTTTAATAAACGATCACATAGCTACAGCAAGGCAACGTTTCGGAGTCTTGCAGGACCCCTTCATCAGCCATGTGACAAAAAAGAAACATGCCTGATGAAGGGGTCCTGAAAGAGTCCGAAACGTTGCCTTGCTGTAACTATGAAAACTTTTGGCCCCGTATTGGTGATCCTCGGTGTGCTGGTGACAGTAGTTTATCTAGTAATACTTTTGTCATTACTTAACCCCTCGCCCTCCAGAGGATTCCCCCCCTTCCTGACCAGGCCATTTTTTGCGATACGGCGCTGCGTTACTTCAACTGACAATTGCGCGGTCATGCAACGCTGTACCCAAATGAAATTTACTTTTTTTTCCCCACAAGTAGATCATGCTTTCGGTGGTATTTGATCGCCTGTGCGTTTTTTGTGCTATAAACAAAAAAATACCGACAAATTTGAGAAAAAAACAATATTTTTGACTTTTTTGCTATTAAACATGTCCAGTAAAAACATTTAAAAAAATCAAATTTCCTCATAAATTTAGGCCAAAATGTATTCCGCTCCGTGTCTTTGCTAAAAAAATCCCGATACTTGTAAATTAATTGGTTTCCGTGAAAGTTATAGCGTTTACAAATGGCGGTATATATGCTGGAAATTTTTTTTCTTTTACTAGTAATGGCGGCAATCAGCGACTTATAGCGGGAGTGCGGAGGGCATTCTGACACTGGGGGGGGGAACTGACTCGGTGTCACTGACAACCCCAGTGACACCAATACAGTGATCAGTGCTAATAAAGAGCACTGACACTCTACTAATGGCACTGGGCAGCAAGGGGTTAACATCTGGGGCAATCAAAGGGTTAACTGTGTGCTGTTTCACTACGTGTGCTGTGTGTGTTTCACTACGTGTGCTGTGTGTGTGTGTTTCACTACATGTGCTGTTTGTGTGTGTGTTTCACTACGTGTGCTGTGTGTGTGTTTCACTGTAAGCACACTGCTTTGTATGGGTGTGCTATCTTTTTTTTTTTCATTTATTTAATGCATCTCAGTACTGCTGATCTTTTCCTTTGTCTTTTAGCCTCTTCTGTCTACAGTCACTTACTCCAGGGTGTTATTGCTCTGGACCGGCTTCCTGACAACTGTGGACCATACCTGTGCAAAGTGGCCACCTTTAGGAAGCGCTTGACAGGGTGACAACACTAAAGCACAAAAGAGAGACAGTTGTCACCCTATAACAGGAAGTGCCTTAAGAAGGGACTCTTCAGGCAGGACCACCGGGTATTATTTTTTTGAAACTTTGCAAATGTAAAAAATACTAAGAGCAACTTTTGAAACGACATTATCATCAAAAAGTTTTTTTTTATAGGCAATTTTAGTAATTTGGTTTAAATATAAATTAAAATGAGGGTAACTTCTGCCGTTGAGAAGGATATCCTAAGAGATATTGTCGGGTGATCAGAGGAAGCAACATTTTAAATTTAGGATAAAATAATGTTTCCTGGAGAAAAACAAAAAAATAAAACAGTTCGTGAGAATCGGAAGCCGGTAATAGGTGCGTATTATCTTAATAATTCCGAAATGTGAAGGAATCACGATTTCACACCTAGGCTGCATTTAAATACTCAACGTTTTGATGAGAAAATTATTCTGAAATAAAATAACAGGCATGACTAAAATTAACTCATACAGTTTTATGGACTGGCGCCTCTGTGAATTTAAATGAAAACAGCAAAAAAAACAAAAAAAAAACAAAAACAAAAACAAAAAACAAAAACAGCCTGTGTACAAAGAAAGGTGACAGTGGTATATACCAGTTCTCCAGAATGCCTCCTGAATTCCCCAGCCACAATTTCTTAACCTATTCCCATCCGGCCCATGTCGAAAAACAGGAGCACTGCCAATGCGGGTGGACGTTTCTAACCGCGATCAGTGCCCACTGTGTGTGGAGGACACAGTGGAACACCGATCATCGTACGGGACCTCTGTGTGAGGTCCCGATTCATGTGATACACACACATACACTATATAAATATATATATACACACACACATACACTATATAAATATATATATACACACATACATACACTATATAAATATATATATACACACATACACTATATAAATATATATATACACACATACACTATATAAAATATATAAAAAACACACACACATACACTATATAAATATAAAAATACACACACACATACACTATATAAATATATATAAAACACACACACATACACTATATAAATATATACACACACAATACACTATAAAAAAATATATATATACACACATACACTATATAAATATATACATACACACATACACTATATAAATATATATATACACACATACACTATATAAATATATATATACACACACATACACTATATAAATATATACACACACACATACACTATATAAATATATATATACACACATACACTATATAAATATATATATACACACATACACTATATATAAATATATATATACACACACACATACACTATAAAAATATATATATACACATACATACACTATATAAATATATATATAAACACATACACTATATAAATATATATATACACACATACACTATATATATATATATATATATATATATATATAACACACACACATATATATATTGTGTATATATGAAACATATATATATATATATATATATATATATATATATATTGTAAATGTTTATTTTTTGGGGCAGAAATCAAAACCATATAATTTTGGGTA